TTTTATAAAACCACAAAAAAAACCCCTTTTTCTAGGGGGGGAAAAAAAAAAAAAAAAAAAAAAAAAAGCATTGCTGGCTTTAAAACAAGAAATAATCTCTGGTCTGCTCATACTACCATCCTAAAAAGCTCAGTCAACTCATGGAGCATTTTGGCAGGACATTCTGATTTTAATACTATTCCTGGACTGATAAATCATGTGTATATGTGTGTGTGTGTATTTTTATATATATACATAAATAAATCTAGTTTTTTCCTTATAGCAATGTTTACAAGTGTTAAGAAACTGATGATTTGCATTTATTTGTTGAAATAAAATCTAGTATTCACTAGTATTTTGCCCACAAACACATCCTATGAGCTTCCCTGGTTAACTAATTTAACATGTAGCTTTGGTTATTCATTACCTGGTAATCTCATCATCTCCAAGCATTCCCTTGGGAATTGGTGAATATCGTCCTGGTGATGCTGGGGGCAAGGACTGTCCCAAGTAGGCAGATGGAGTGATATGGTTATCCACTGGCTGAGAATAAGCTTCAAAGAGGAAAAAAATAAAATAAAATAAGCATTAAGACAATAAGGAAAAAGCTGGAGGAACTGAAACAAAGTATTATAAAGAATGACCTATTCTAAAAACAAAATAACAGTTGAAATGATACATTAATAAATATCATAGTTCTAAAATACTGTGTCACATCTAGACATTCCCCAGTCTCCTCACACTTTAAGTCAGTAGGCAAATTTTTCAGTTTGGTTGCATCTCAAAAAAACCCTTTTTCAGAAACAGATACTGGATAGCTGAAGCTCATGAGGACAGTCGGGAGATTTATCCGTTTTTAAAGTTGTCTTCAACTTGACTGAAATCAATTAAGAATTTCAGTTTCTTAAAAATAAGCATGTTGGAGCAACAGTGAAAAATACAACATTTCAATGTTACGGTTCTTCCAAAACTGTCAACCTGCCTACCGCTTCCTTTTCAGTGCTTTGATGCGGCATCCTAGCACCTCCAGAATACTCCAGGCCATTCTGATTACCAGGTCTGAACAGGGAGGGACGTTACATTTCTTAGACGCTGAACAAAACCATCTTTAATAGCACAGGTGCTGGTAGCGATGCTAGTATGCGCTCAGCCAACAGCACACAGGTAGGATTATTCCACCTCCTACTCTTCAAGGCAAGAGGCATCAATTTACTGAAAGGAATAAACAAGCTAGTGCAAAAAATGTCAACTGTACTGCAAGGGTCAGTTGCCTTATTCACAGCTTCATTGATTAAAACCAGAAAGAAGTATTAAAAGGATAGTCTAACCTCTGGCGTAACAGGCCACAAATCCTGCGCATAAAGTGCATGTGTTTTACCTGAATCGCCACACACATACTAACAAAATTCAGCATCTTAATGATTTCAATCAATAGGAAATATTGTACAATTGCAGGAGAGTTCTTCCAATAAATAATTAAAAGGGTACATTATATTTCTAAGTTAGGCACATCAATTTTAAGTGTCCATTCACCAGACACAGTCATACCCAGTGTCTCCTATTACAAAGCATATTATACAATTGAAGATCTTTTTCCTGGTGTAGATGCTGCACGCTTTGATCCTTAAACATGGAGGGTGGGGACACTTCACAGATTCAACATTATTAAGTTGCCAGACCCTCTTCACTGTTATTCGCTTGCTGCACCTGATGTGGTGCCTGACCTTTGAGGATTTACACTAAAACCAAAGCTTTTTAACTGAATAGACGTGACACAGATTGCAGAAGCGACCTGTATATTCTCCTTTTTTTGTTTTTCTTTTTAAACTACTGGCAGAACATTTGGATCAAGCAAACAAACAAATCAAACGAACTTCATCAAGAGTATTTTTATATGAGATATGTGCTACGTAGCCAGCTTTCAAACCACCCAATCCACGCTGGATTGATCCTATGTTATTTTAGATTCCTAGTAAACCTGTGTGCAGTACATTCCATGCATGGAGACTTTATCACATCAACATCATCTCACCCTCATCAATGGTCTAATAAAAGAGGTACCGAGCCAGATAGGGAAGCACCTATAGTATCTTAATGCCTGGCATATAGCATCTGGTGTCATATCTGATTAGCCAGATTGCTTCTTATTCTTTAAAGCTTTGCCACAGTACTGGAGTTCTTTCCATTTTCTAGAATATGTTTTGGCAAGCATTAAAATCCACTATTAACAGCTTAGGTAGTTTAAAAGCACTAGCTGATAAAGTACTTCAGTGTGTTATTTGGACACGCCAGCCCTTAGTGAGCTGCATGCTCTAGTCTGGGACTGTGCAGAACTTTTGCAAATTGCAACTCTGGATTCACAAACGGTTTCAGCAAAAATCAGAATCTGAGTGCAAGAGGTCCCCTTCTACAACACAGACAAAAAGAAGCTTCCTCAAGTTAGGTTCATGAGGTCTACAGCAAAGAGAACGCTGCTTTTGCTAAAAGCAAGTGATCAACAAAAGCATTCATATTTGAGTTGTTCGAGACACATGACTCCTAAAACCATTTTTTAGAACAGCTGTAACACGTGTACATTGCACCTTCATCCTTCTGCTCCCTGCCAGGATTCAAAGACTATAGATCCCACTGCTTAATTCCTCCTGTCTGCCCCAGCACTACGTGTACCTTCCAGGCACTGGTAACAGATTTGGACAGTTTACTGTCATTTTCAAAACTTGGTTTTTGGCCACACTGGAGTTTTGGCAACAGATCTTCACAATGATTACCAAACCGTACAGCAATATTTACTTCTTAATGGAAAACAATGTATGTATTTTAATACAAAAGTGTATTTCCATGTCACTGTACAGACTTTTAGTTTAAAGCAAGTGATACTTTAACAAATGACTACTGTATGTAAATATAGTTATTTTGGTTTTCCTCAGAAACGTTTACAGCTGAAGCACAGAAAAATGGAATGCAGACTTTATGAGCTCTTTTCCAATTAGTGGAAAACGGGTTTTGATTAAAAAACACTAAACAATTGTATCAGAGTAGAGTAGCTCTGTACATTCCGTTCATGCACTAAATCTTTTCATTTCACAAAATTAATTTACAATTGCTTTTAACAAGTCAGTGGCAGCTATAAAGATGCATATTTTATAGGAAGTAATAAGATTTTTCATAACAAATTCTATGTTCATTGACTTACAGTGCTTTTCATTCGATTGTTTTTAACTGCATCGTGTTCAGAAACATACATACCATCTAATACTGTCACATTTCCTTGTATTTTAAATTTCGTATCCTTTCACCATGTAACTAAAACTCAGCTATCAAGCAATGTAACAGTTTATTTCACACCTGTGGACAGTTTCACATCAGCACTGGTTACATCATTTATAAAGTTCCACACATGGTACTTGCTTAGAAAAGTCAGGTCCTTTTTCAAGGCTGGTGTTCTCAGCGCTAGGGAAGCAAAGCTACAAGGCATAAAAAAGCTCTCTATGGAGGTCCTAAAAAAAAAAAAAAAAAAAGTGCCTCCCCCTTTCCAAAAACAATTTTTACGGGAGAATTACATGAAAAAAAATT